GCTCTGGAGGCTTTCCTCGAGCCTCTGGGAGGGCAAAAATGGCCTCCTGAGGCTCCTAAGGCTCTCTGGAAGCTGGAAACAGGCCCATTTCTCGTCCTTCCCGAGCTTCCACGCGTGCCCTGCACTTACCTGCATCCAAAACAAGCCGCATGGGGATTCCTGGGAGGGGTGGGGTGGGGTGGGTGGGGCCAGCCAGGGGTGGGATTTGGGGGATTCTCCAAACTGCACAGAATCTTAGCCAGGGATTCTCCTGAACCCCTGCGAACCCCCATCAGCCCACCCCTGGGTGAGTCTGAAAAAAAGTGAAACTATTGAAATTGTGAGAATGATTCAGACGTTGTAGTTTCCCAGTGTTTGGGCACCATGTTGTTATTCAGAGAATCGTAGAATGAATGGCTTGGAATGGGCCACGGAGGCCACCATCCTACTGCCCGTTCAGCATGGGAGTCCAAATTCCAGGTCAGTGTTGCAATCCACATTTTGCCAATGGGGGATTTGAGGCAGAAAGGAAACAACTTGCATGTGGTTATTAGGGAAACACGTAGCTGAATGAAAGCCTGCTTTGTACCTTGTGGCAAGATATTGGACAGGAACAGCCACACTCCCTGTCAGAGAGAGGAAGAGGTGTTTTTATTTATTTAATGAGACAGAAACAAAGAAAAACTACCCCAGCAAAAACTAATAAAAGGCAAAAAAGAGAGCAACATGACAGCAAAAATTGTATGCATTAAGACTTTCATGAATGAAATTGTTACCCAACAGTTCAAAGGCTGGCTATATTTCATTGTAATCATACCTATGCAACCTGAGTTTGTATGCAAACCATTATAAATCACAAGTAACATCAGGCCTTCAAGAGGCTGAATAATCGGAGCCATCAAATTATCTTTCCAAAGTTGAAGCACTAAAGATTAATCCAGATAAATGGGATGGAAAGAGAGGTGGAAGCAAGCTGATAGAAGAACAAATGAATACAATCCTTAATTCGTAAGTGATTCGATGTAAAATTAGGGAAGAATACTCTTTCAATTATTTGCAATTATAATTACAAATTGCAAAGCAACAATAAAAGCATGGTAAGCATGCCGTAAATATTTGCAGCTGAATATTTTACAGGCCATAACAAGAACATCAGATAAGCCAGTGTGTTCTGTTTCTAGAGCTGTTTTCCCAATATTGGAAGCAGAGATTAAACCAGGATAGAAGTTTGATCTGAAGCCGAAGAGAGAAAAAGTTTGTTTAATATGGAATGAATGAAAATGCTTTGTGGCGAAGAACCCTGCTTATTTTCGATATTGAGGGAAAAAAGGAAAATGAATTTGGACCTTTTATATAAGTATTTTCCATTACTTTTAATCTCATTTTTTTTTTCTGTGAAAAGAGGGAAACTCCATTGAAGAAGGTTGGAGAAAGATGAAGACTCTTAGGCAATCAGACTAAGAATGTTTGTGTTCTGATTCTTAAAAACTTTGCAAGAGATTGGTCCTCTGGTGGCCAGATATATTGGCAGGTGGGCCACAAATTAAGTATGGGAGGTTGTCATGCTCTAGAATAGTGTTTTCAACCTCAGATGTGTTGATTTCTATTCCCTTATAGCAATAGCACTTAGACTTATATACTGCTTTACAGTGCTTTACAGTCCTCTCTAAGCGGTTTACAGAGTCAGCATATTGCCCCCAACAATCTGGGTCCTCATTTTATCCACCGCACAAGGATGGAAGGCAACCTTGAGCCTGGTAAGTTTTGAACTGCCAAATTGCAGGCAGCCGGCAGGCAGCAGAACTAGCCTGCAGTACTGCACTCTAACCACTGCGCCACCGAGGCTCATATCATCAACTACATTGTTTAGTGAAGAACCGAAGCTGGTGTCCGCTCGTATAATCCTCCAGCCAGCATGCTAAGCTGGAGAATTCTGGGGGTTCAAGATTACACATCTTATAAGTTGTAAGGGCTGGGAAACACTGTACTAGAACATGTAAGCAGCCTTTGTGTGTTTTATTTATTCCCTTTTCTGCTGACGTTATGAGAGGAGGCACGTATAACCTGCATATATGACCCTAACACAGCCTGCCCATCATAGTAATTCGTCAAAATGGTCATGATCCACATCACAGACCCAATTTTATCCTTTTTATCGTGGTCGTTAAGCCGATGCCACAGACATACAGTGATTGCTGTGGTTGTTAAGTATGTCAGAGTTCCAAGTGATAGATCCATATCAAGCAAAATTCCAAATAAACAAATAAAGCAAGTAGATTCCTCGAAGAATAGCTTTATTGGAAATATATTGGCACAGATCTGGTAAAAACTGACTGAAAACTTCCACGGTTTTCACCTAACTAAAAGCAAAAGTTTTCCTACTTTCTCAAAACAATCAGTAGCATGGTCCAATCACAGTGAGGCCTGGCGACCAGGTAGCATCACTCCGCCTTTCTTCCAACCAGGTGTGAGGATGACCTTGGTTCCAAGAGAAAGTATTTTGTTTTGGCTACAAAAATTATGTGAATTCAGGCAGTAAAGATGCTACTTCTTGCTTTCCAAAATTTCTCAGTGTTGTGGATTTTATTTGCAATGATTGTGCCAGTTGTATGTAGGCATTTTTTTTTGTAATTTCGTAGATTAACACCTCTGTAGGATTTGCTCAGTGATCCTTGGTTATTCTAGTTGATCGATATTTCTGTTTCTCTGACTTTTGTGTCTTTTACTCAGACAAAATCCTTGTAAACCTGGGAAGCTGTAACAATCCCTGTTTCTATGGAAAGTTTAAAATGACCTAAAGCCCAGTTTAATGTGAAAGTAAAAGCTTCTGTCCTAGCTCTGGCATGTTAAAGAAAGTTTTGTCCAACAACTCAGTTGGAGTTTACATAGTTTAGGTCAGGTGTCAGTAATCCGCGGCTCTGGAGCCACATGCGGCTCTTTGGGCCCTCTGCTGTGGTTCTCTGTTGGGTGATCCCACCGTTGGCTGGCCCTGCCTGTTGCCCTCCCCTCCCAGTCACTCCTCGCCTGGCCTGAGGAGATAAAATACAAAAAACTGGAATGAGAAGGAGGGAGGGAGAGTAAGAGAGAGAGAGAGAGAGAGAGAGAGAGGAGAGAGACCCATTTCCCACAGAAAACATTGGGAGCCACAAAACCTGGGTAGGTGTGGTGGGGTCATGTGACTGGGTGGGAGTGACGTTGAGTTGGCCACGCCTACCCAGGTTTTGAGGCTCCCGGTGTTTTCTTTTCTGTGGGAAATGGGTCCAAATGGCTCTTTGCGTGTTTAAGTTTGCAGACCCCTAATTTAGGTACTCATTAAACCACGGTTCAAAAATTCAGATCTTCTGAGAAAGTCTGTGCTTTCATTTTCCTCTCCCTTTTTAAGATAACCTTAGCAACCTGATGTTGTCCAGAAGTGTTTGCCTGCAGCTCTTTTCCTCCTTTCCAGCTAGCACTGGATATGATGTATGGAATCTCACCGCATCTCCAGATTCAGAAAAGCCGTTCTAAAGCGCTGTTCCCAACACAACAAAAAGTTGTCAGAAAACATATCTAGGCACTTTTGGAATACAGAAGAACTTGAAACTTTGGACACACAAAGAAGGAGACAAATCCCTTGTGTTTCTAACCACACTAGAAACAAATAAAATATTCTACTCTATTCTCTTCTCTTTGTAGCACCATCTCTTTGTGGTGTCTTGGCTTCACACTTTAATTCTTAGTCGCCAGCAGAAACAAACCTTAATTATACCTTCCCCTCTTGCTAGGGGCTTTTTCCATCTAATCATAGAACGCAGAAACATTTTTATTGATTACCTTGTAAAAATATGTTACATTTTGATGGTGCTGAACAAATCTAGTATGCTCAGAGTAGAATGTAGAGCTTTTCAGCAAACATATTCATGCTCTTGTAATCACCTTAGGTATTATAGTGGCATTCTCTGTTCTGCAGATTATCCTATCAAAGAAATGATGATGATGAGGAAGAAGCTGCCCGAGAGCGACGCAGGCGGGCCCGTCAAGAAAGACTGCGGCAAAAAGAAGATGATGGCTTAGGGCAAGGAATCGAGAAACCTGAAATGAATGCCCAAAATAAGTAAGATTCTGTTACATGAATAGTTTTGGTGGATTTTCATTCTAGATCATGCCTGCTTTGCAATGGGATTTAATCAGGGAAGAGGAGCTGAACAATTAATTGTTCCTGTCCTTCAATACACTGTTCTATATTATCTATTCTCCAAAGTGGTGCAGCTTTACAGACTCACTTTTCTGGTTAGGAGGTAATATATCTCTTCTCTATCTCCATCTCTATATACCTCCCTCCCTCCCTCCCTCCCTCCCTCCCTACCTACCTACCTACCTACCTACTTCCTATCTGTCTGTCTGTCTCTAGTCTGTCTCTCTGTCTCTGTCTCTCTCCTCTATCTATCTATCCAGGGGTGGGATTCAGCCAGTTTGGACTGGTTTGAGTGAACCGGATGTTAAATTTACATCCGGTTCACTGAACTGGTAGTTGAACTGACCGGCTGGCCCCGCCCACCTCTCCCCTCCCCTCCCAGGGGTCTCCACATGGCCCGTTTTGGATGCAGGTAAGTGCAGGGTCTATGCAGAGTCTCTGGGAGGGCGAAAAACGGGCCTCTGGAACCCGGGGGAGGCCGTTTTTGCCCTCCCAGAGGCTCAAGGGAAGCCTCCAGACCCTGGGGAAGATGAAAAATGCCCCTCCTGGAAGTTCTGGTAGGCCACGCCCACCATGGCCATGCCCACCCAGCAACCGGGCAGCAAATCGGTTTTGAATCCCATCCCTCTGTCTGTCTGTCTGTCCGTCCGTCCGTCCGTCCGTCCATCCACCCATTTATTTCTATTATTACAAGGGCAGTCTGGTTTCCCCATGTTCTAGGAAATTGATTCTATGATCACACTTTTCAGAAGGTATCCTCCATTCAGTTTCATGTTTAGCTGAAGACAAGCAATTTAAAAATAAAAGCCTTAAAAACAGAACAGAACAGAAGGTGGTTTGTTTGTTTTTTTAAATCAAGAAGTCCCTTCTCATGCTCTACTCTTAGAGACTTGAATGAGTCCCAATATTTGGGAGGGTCCCGATTGGAAGCACAAATGAGTAGAGATTTTTTTGCATTTTCAAATTACAGGGCATTAAAAGCAATGTGATATAAACTCCCATATGATACCCTGGTGGATCTTTGACAGTCAAAATAAATAACCTGGGTTTGCATGTGTGAACTTGACAGGTTTGTGTCTTTGTGTGTAATGGTTAGACTCAACTGTTAGCTGTCTGATTAAGATTGCTTCAAATCCCAATTCATCATGAAGTTCACTATCTCTTAGTTCAAAGGGCTCCAAACTTGGCATCTTTAAGACTTGTAGACTTCAGTTCTCAGAATTCTTCAGCTATGCTGGCTGGAGAATTCTGGGAGTTGAAGTCCACAAGTCTTAAAGTTGCCAAGTTTGGAGACCTCTGTCTTAGTCAAACCTGTCTATGACGATAAAATGGGGAAGAAAGAAGGCAATTTAAACAATCCCCATTACACTTCTGACAAATCAATAAAATTAAAACTCTACATCTCTTGTAGCATTGCAGAAGGAGAGTCCAAAAGTACTACAGTGACCACTGTTACGACTACTCAAGGCGATGGAGATGATGATGCTGTGTTCTTGGAGAGGATGGCGCGGAGAGAGGAAAGACGTCAAAAGCGTCTTCAAGAAGCATTGGAGCGCCAAAAGGAACTTGACCCGACCGTTACTGATGAGACCGTGTCCTTCACAAGCAGAAAAGTGGTGAATAACGTGGAGGAAAATGAGACCCCGGGAAGAGAAGAAAAGGTAGAAACCCACAGAAGACACTATGAGGTGGAGGAAACAGAAACCATCACTAAATCATACCAGAGGAACAACTTGGAGCAGGATGAGGAAGATGAAAAGAAAGATGAGGAAGACAAAGAAGATGTGGAAGACCAGAAACCAAAGCCACAAGCCCTAGAGGAGAATCAGGTAGAACTAACTGTAGAGAAGGAGAATGTAGACAATGAGGAGGAATCTGCAGTCTTGGAGGGAAAGCATCTTGAGGTAAATGCAGAGGAGGACAAATTAGACAATAATACCCACGTCCTTGCCAGTTCAAAGGAGGGCCTCAGCATAACAGTAGTCATAGATGAAAATAAGGAGGAAAACAATGAGGCAGAAATGAACCAGAAACAAATTGAGGAGAGGGAAAGGCTTGAGAGGGAGGAAAGGGAGAGAGCCGAAGCTGAGGAACAGAGGAAAGCGGAGGAAGAAAAAGAGAGATTGGAAGCTGAGAAAAGAGAAGCTGAGGAGAAAGCGAAGAGGGAAGCTGAGGAGAAAGCAAAAAGGGAAGCTGAGGAGAAAGCAAGGCTTGAGGCAGAAGAACGGGAGAGGGTGAAGGCAGAAGAACAGCAGAAGGCTGAGGAGGAGAGAAAGAGGATGGAGAAGGAAGAGGCAGAGAAGAAAAAAGCTGCCCAGGAGAAAGAGAGACGGGAGGCTGAGGAGAGGGAGAGGAGGAAGGCAGCCGAAGAGAAAAAAGCAGCCGAGGAACGAGAGAGGGCTAAGAAGGAAAAGAGGGAGGCGGAGGAGAAGGCCAAAGCTGAGGCTAAGAGGGCAGCTGAGGAAAAGGCTAAGCTAGAAGAGGAGAGGTTAAAGGCCAAGCAAAAGGCCGAGGAGAAAAGGGTAGACCAACTGAAAGGCAAGAAGGGGGACGAGAAGAAAATAGAAGAGAAGCAGGTAAAAGAGAAGAAACTCCAAGAGGAGAAAATCACAGCAGCTTCCCTCAGGAAACAGGTAGAGTAAACATTTTGCACCCAACCACCGTTTTGCCTGTGTTTTGTAGAAAATGTAATGCATTTCACCAGGAAAAAAAAAGAGTGAGAAACTGGAATTTGTTCAGTTATCTCCTTCCACTTTGGGCTACTAACTCTTGCCAATGTTTTATATCCTTTTGGATTTAAGCTTCTAGCTTCACCTCTCCGTAGCATGATCAGTGCATGACAGTTGGTTAAACTGCTCTCTCTTCTAGTTGCTTGAAGTCTGTGCATGCTCAATCCTTCACAGCTTCTTTGTCTTCCCTATCTGTGGCTGATGGTTGGACAAGGAAGGTAGCCAAAGGCCTACACGAGGTCCAGAAGCACAGCATGAGCCATGGATGAGCACCTGGGAAACCTTGGTGGTAGGAGTGTTGAATAAGCATCCACAAGTATTAGAAGCAAGCACAGCCAAGATCCTGCTGAGATCTGTGAGGACACGAGCACACCAGAGCAGAGGAGAGGGTGCCAATGCGCAAAGGAAAGTCACTGTGCCACCCAAGGGGAATGACATACACAGCAGCAGATGCGAGGTTGTATGAGCACAGCTTTGTAAAGCTATGGTGGTAGTAGCAGCTGTTAATAGGGCTTGCGATGGGATTGATGTTTTCCTCTTGAAAAATATTACAAAAGGGGGAAGAAAATAAAGTGGAAGCTAAAAAGGAAAACCTACAGGACAAGAAGCTTCAGCCAGCCTTCAGGAAAGAGGAGGTAACTATCACTTGCAGATAGAGGGGGGCGTGTGGGAAATAGACTCAAACCCCACATTGCCTGTGTTCATCGTGAGATCCCATAGCAAAAGTCAAGGTCATTGAATCCAATTTGAAGCTTTGGAGCAACTTGATTCAAGTTCATATTTTCTCCAGCAGCCATCTTGAAGGCTGTCTCAAGATGTTGGCCAAAAGCAGACAAGAGCTCTCCAAAACTGGCCGCTTCAGCTTATTCCAGTTGGTTTTATATTGTAGTTGTGAGCTGGATATTTAACTTGCTTCTTTGGTGTATGATGAACATCAGAGAAGTATTTTAAGTTTACCTGAGCTAAGATCACATCTGGGAACACAACATTGGCCATAGAAATTGGTCCTAGATTTGTGTGAAATTCCTGAGTGCCCTCCAGTTAAGCCTTCTTGCCTTAACTTCTCCCTCCACTTCTTGACTTTTCTTGATGGAACTGATGGTTTAGATTATAGATGCCTCAAGATATCTTTAGTTCTGTAATCTGAATTTAACCCAATGATTTTTCTGTTTCTTAATATAAATTATGCACTCTCCAAAATCTGCTATCTTCTTTTGACTCCCCCATCCCCTTGGTTTACAAAAAGTGGTGCATTGCATTTCTACTTAAACTCAGAAGCTGGTGCCATGGTGTTTTACTGTATGGTGAGTAAAATTATTGGCTTCAAACCATCATTTTTAATAATCTTCAGACAGGATACTGCAGATACCAAAATGTACTCGTAAGTTAGCCACTTTTGAATGTTTGAATATTGGTATTTTTATCAACCTGTTTTATCACTTATCTTACTTGCCATCCATGAAACATTACTCTAAATTAGTCTGTTAGGGGAATTATAATAATTCTGAATAGATCGTTTGTTTAATGTCTGTATTTATAAAATGCCTGTAGGAGAAATTTTATGCCATTATGCAACTCAAACATAAAGCTGTAATACAGTGCAGAATGGAAAAGCCACAAGAACATAGTACTGTAGAAAAACAGGTACAAAGCCAATATGGCAAAAAAAAAAAAAAACCACCAACTCATCAAAGCAAAATGAAATACAATAAGAATAGACTAAAACAAGTAAAGAAATAAAATAAAAGATAAAACTATTAAAACACAATGAAGATTAAAAGACAACCAAACCCTAGGAAAAACTTTAATCTGGAGAAGAAAAAAAATAAATTGCCATTGAGCAAATTTCTTGGGAAAAACATTTTATTGGAATTACCTAGAAGGTTTTCTCTGTAGTGATCTAACTCCAATAGATGAAGAATTTTGAACTACAGTAATAGACATATTTTCCAATTCCCTCTCTTTTATACCAAAAGAGTCAATGCAGGGTAACATGTAAACCAGTGGTGGGATTCAAATTTTTTTACTACTAGTTCTGTGGGCGTGGCTTTGTGGGCGTAGCAGGGGAAGGATACTGCAAAATCCCCATTCCCTCCCCACCCCACTAACCTGCTTTCCAGCTCTGTTCTCCTGTGCAGAGCAACAAAAGAAGACCCAGACCATCAGCTGGGACTCAGGAGGCAGAGAATAGATGGGGCCGGGCCAAGTCAGAGATGGTATTTGCCAGTCCTCTGAACTACACAAAATTTCTGCTACTGGTTCTCCAGAACTGGTCAGAACCTGCTGAATACCACCTCTGATGTAAACCTTCAAAAACCAAGAAAGAAATGTAGGGTTGCTTCTAAGTAAGTTCTTTTATTGTTCCTGACCTATAGACAGAAATCTTGCTGAACTAAACAACTACTTGCATCATTAAAGATATCCTCTGGGAGGAGCTATCTTGATGCTCTTTCTCCCAATCGAACAATCTAAACTTTGCTGTCTCTTGGTCCTTTGGAATCTAGACTATATTCCAGCACACAACCTGATGTTTCTTTCTCATGCTTTCTGGTTTTCTTGGATTGAGCTCATCTTCCTCAAAGCTACCTCCTCTACAGCAGAGGTCTCCAAACTTGGCAACTTTAAGACTTGTGGACTTCAATTCCCAGAATTAGCTGGCTGGAGAATTCTGGGAGGTGAAGTCCACAAGTCTTAAAGTTGCCAAGTTTGGGGATCCCTGCTCTACAGATAGACTCAAGGCTTCCATTTAGATATGGAAGGAAAAAGGGAATCATGAAAAAGGGAATCAATCATGAAGAAGTTGAAAGATACCTCCAAATATGTGAGGGTTGGAGTTTCCAGATTTAGAAGCTCCATTGGAGAAGGCTAAAATAAGCTGCTCTCTCTGATATTGGATTCCACTGATAATAGCCCCAGGTAGACTTTATGGATATTGCTTTTTAGGTTTTCAACAGGAATATCTCATTCTTAGTAATAGTGAGATGTGGTTAATGCAGGAGTCTTCAAACTTGATAGCTTTAAGACTTGTGGACTTCATCTCCCAGAATTCCTCCTCCAGTCATGTTAGCTCATGGATTCAGGGAGTTGAAGTCCACAAGTCTTAAACTTGCCAAGTTTGAAAACTCTTGGGTTAATGGGAGACTCCAGGAATAGCAAGGAGCTATATCTCAGTGGTAGAGAGGATGTTTTCCATGCAGAAACTTCCAGACTGCATTCTTGATAGTTCTAGTTGAAAAAAGAGGGGTGGTAGGGAAAGTAACAGCCTGATGCAGAAAACTTCTGTAGGAGTATCTAGGGAGCTGTTCTCTGTACGTAGACAGTCCTTAGTTGGCAAGAGAAAGCCGCCTTCTGCATCGCATGAAGTGAAGCTCTTCAACTTGCAGTTTTCTCCATTCTTCAGTTGCAGCTTTCCCTAAATGACACAGGGTAACCAACATGTTTAGTCTCATAACTTTCCTTTGGAACAAACCAGAGGTGGTATTCAGCAGGTTCTGACAACGTGCCTACTGTCCCTGTCCTATTGTTTCTTTTATTTTTCTTATATGTACCCATTTCATGTATTCATAACTACGTATATACTTATACCTATTATCTTGTAAGTGATTGACAAATCTAAATAAATAAATAAAGTAAGTAAGTAAGTTCTGGAGAACCAGTAGTGGAAATTTTGAGTAGTTCAGAGAACCGGCAAATAGCGTCTCTGACTGGCCCCGCGCCCATCTATTCTTTTCCTCCCACGTCCCAGCTGATTGGCTGGGTCTTCTTGTATTGCTCTGTACAGGAGAACAGAACTGGAAAGCAGGTTAGTGGGGTGGAGAGGGAATGGAGATTTTACAGTATCCTTCCCCTCCATGCCCACCAAGCCAGGCCCACCAATCCACACCCACAGAACCAGTAGTAATTTTTTTAAAATCCTACCACTGCAACAAACCAATTTACCGTATATTCTGACTGATACTAAGGTTTAAACAACGTCTCCTCACTTTCAGCAGCCAGCAAGATCTTAACTATAAGTCAGTCATCCTGGAAAAACTGAAAATGGCTACACTATAAGATGAAATTTCATTTCATGTGAAGCTGCCTTTTCCTGGTCTGTTTTATTTTACATCCCAGGATTTGTACTGTTTTCTGGACTGCCTTAAGACTTTGGGTGCGCAGAGCTGGACTGCAAAGTTTGTCCTGAAGCAAAGCTTTCTCATGACATGATAGTTGTGGTATTTCCTGCTTCCAGTTTGGCTAGACATACTACATGAACAGCATTTTTTCCTCCTTTTCTTGCTTGCTTGCAGTGTTCCCCTCCCTCCCTTTTAATGCACTTCTGTTTATAAGAAGATAAGCGGTTAGCCTAATCATTTTGCTCAGATGCCCTCAACCTGAGTTAAAACTTAAACTCAGATCCCTGATTTGGAATTTCCAAGGAAGCATTAAATGTCTAAAATAACATTTTTTGTGGGGGGTGGGGGTGATAAATAGAGCTGGTAGCCAACGGTATAAAGAGTTAATTGTTTTATTACCTCCCTGCAATTTAGACAGTCAACACTGCATTAATCAAGCATATTTAAATGACCCTGTAGATTACTAAAAACATCTAGGCGTTTTTTTTAATTTCATAAGGAAGTATGTTATTTTAATGTGCATGTTAAAAACAGAAGTTAATATCGATATTAGAATGGAAAGAGGGAACTTTCATCCTCTCTCCAATTCAGGTTGCTACCATAATTTCCCCCAGGAATTTGGAACCAACCCAGGACTCTTTGCTTGGCAGATCCAAGCTTGTTCCAGAAATACCCATATTTAGTACGATAAGGAATAGATTTTGAATTTCTCCCAGGTCTTTTCTCCATGTAAAAGGGATCTGAAAGGCAAAAAAGATAGACTGACTAAACCAGAGGTCTTCAAACTTGGCAACTTCAACTCCCAGAATTCCTCAGCCAGCAAAGTTGAAGTCCACAAGTCTTAAAGTTGCTAAAGTTGGAGACCTCTGCCCTGGACTAAACCATTCTCATCAGTGGTGGGATTCAAAATTTTTTACTACCGGTTCTATGGGCATGGCTTGGTGGGCTTGGCAGGGGGAAGATACTACAAAATCCCCATTCCCTCCCCACCCTACTAACCTGCTTTCCAGCTCCATTCTCCTGTGCAGGGCAACAAAAGAAGACCCAGCCAATCAGCTGGGACTCGGGAGACAGAGAACAGATGGGGGAAGGGACAGTCAGAGGTGATATTTGCCGGTTCTCCAAACTACTCAAAATTTACACTACCGGTTCTCCAGAATTGCTCAGAACCTGCTGAATACCCACCTCTGATTCTCATCCTACAAGAAGCAATTTCATTTCATTCATGTAAACATCACTTTTCCAAACTACTTTCTTGTCCTTATGGAGAAGATTCCAAGTTCTTTTTGTTTGTTTGTTTATTTGCAGGATTAATTCCAGGGTTGTGGGTTCCTTTAGCTCCTTCTTATGCAGGAATGGTGTGTAGCAGAGGTGGGTATTCAGCAGGTTCTGACCAGTTCTGGAGAATCGGTAGTGGAAATTTTGAGTAGTAATTTTGAGAACCAGCAAATACCACCTCTGACTGGCCCTGCCCCCATCTATTCTCTGCCTCTGGAGTCCTAGCTGATGGTCTGGGTCTTCTTTTGTTGCCCTGCACAGGAGAAAGGAGCTGGAAAGCAGGTTAGTGGGGTGGGAAGGGAAGGGAAGGGAGATTTTGCAGTAACCTTCCCCCAGGAGTGGGGAGCAGTGGTGGGATTCAATTTGTTTTACTACCGGTTCTGTGAATGTGGCTTGGTGCGCGTGGCAGGGGAAGGATACTGTAATATCTCCAGTCAGAGGTGGTATCTGCCGGTTCTCTGTACTACTCAAAATTTCCACTACCCGTTCTCCAGAACTGGTCAGAATCTGCTGAACACCCACCTCTGGTGGGGAGGGAATGGGGATTTTGACGTATTCTTCCCCTACCATGCCCACCAAGCCATGCCACTCCCACCAAGCCATGCCCACAGAACCGGTAGTAAAAAAAAAAGCTGTTTTTATCAGAGGTGGTATTCAGCAGGTTCTGACCAGTTCTGGAGAACCGGTAGCAGACATTTTGAGTAGTTTGGAGAACCGTCAAATACCACATCTGACTGGCCCCACCCTTATTTATTCTCCGCCTCCCGAGTCCCAGCTGATTGGCTGGGTCTTCTTTTGTTGCCCTGCACAGGAGAACGGAGCTGGAAAGCAGGTTAGTGGGGTGGGGAGGGAATAGGGATTTGCAGTATCCTTCCCCTGCCACACCTACAAAGCCACGCCCACAAAGCTGGTAGTAAAAAAATTTGAATCCCACCACTGGTGTGTAGGTATGACCATGGGAGACAGGGCAATAAAACTAGCCAAGGGAATAGTCAGATAAAAGACAGCTGAGCCCACAGCAGGAATGTGAATGTGATAAGAGCCTAGGAGGAGACTCTCCCTAATTTTTTGGGATGTAAAGGAGACAGAATGAGAAATTTAATACCAAACTTGCAAGATTTATAATTAGATTTAGCTCACCTGGTCTCCTATCTGGCCTACCTTGTAAGGTTGACATATGGTGTGCTTGCTTTTCTACCTTGATGTCCCAAAGACGTTTCGCTTCTCATCCAAGAAGCTTCTTCAGCTCTGGCTGGATGGTGGAGAAGCTGAAGAAGCTTCTAAGATGAGAAGCGAAACGTCTTCAAAGAAAACCCAGAAAGTCCAGTTGCCCCTTGAAAAAGCACCTTTGGCACAACCGTGAGCTGGATGGCTGAGAATCTCCATAAACTTCTTTCTTAAACATCCTTGATATTAGGAAAAAGAAAAGGGAAAGAAATATCGCCCCCTAGAGCAGCTGTCACACTGGTGTTTTCTAAAGATGTTACATGTTTGAATCATCCTGGTGGAGTAATATAGAAGTTGGTGGTACCAAACTGAGCCTGCTCTAAACTTAAAAAAAAAAGTCTGATTAACTCCAGAAATGCCGTTTTCCAAAAACAGCAATGCCGAGGGCAGGATAAGCCACTGAACCAAATTCGGATTTCCTGAGCCTTCCTTCTGAAATCAATGAGATTTGTCTCATTAAATTGATTTAGATGGATATCAGTGAACCTCCTTGCCATTTGGATCAGGATCAATTTAGTCAGGGAAGAGCATTTTACACAGTTGTTCGTTGCTATTTCTGATACGCGGCTTTAGCTGAGGTCCTTCATGAGATTAATCTCTCCGGCAGACCAGAACAAGTTTTCTGGAATGCTGCACACTCTGCACACAACTCCAATTATCATCAAGGCATGTCTCGGCATGCTTGATAGTCAGATGGTCAAGAGCAGCTCCAAAAGGCACTAATCTGAGAATGTTTCTGGGTAGGGGAGGTAGGAAGCCAAGACAAACTATGCACAAAACTTGCTCCATCCTCAGATCCAAATTGGGAGGACAATTCTTGACTTGGCTTATCTTTGAGATTAATTACAACACGTCTACTTAAATGTCTCTGCAAACATTGTAATGCATCTTTTGGCTGCCCTTAGCAGCACTGTTTACAAATACCGTAATAGTATTCCAAATAAATTGATTCCTACTTCATAGACAAAGGGACTTTATGACTCAGTTGGATGGGAACAAGGAAGTGTCCCATATGTGCATCCAACTCAGAGAGCCAGAACTAGAAGTTACACAGACTGTAGGACATCTAGTTAGGGGGTGAGACAAAGTGCCTCTTCCAGCTTCTCTATCCTGCACATAAACCTGTAGACAATTTAATGCTTTCAATGATTGCTTACTTAGCCCAGATATCATGTGGTTCCTTGGAATCCTCGCTGTATAGATGAGCCACAACTGAATGACGATCCAGTAACAATGGAAGCACGTATTATTTTACGCTTGTGAAATTATGTGTAAAATCTTTCCCAACCGTGCAAAGCTGAAGCTACAAGCTGTTTTTAGGACCTTACATTTGCAGTAAATTAATAGTTCTTTTATCTTCCCATTCACAGTGGAGATGGATACTTCTGAACAACTCCTTCAGAGTCTTGGATGTAACTTATTCTTATTTTTTTAAACAACCATGTCTCTTTATTAGATGAAAGATAACAAACTGAACAGAGACAAAATGCCCAAAGAAGAGGCTAAGTCCATCTGGGATCGCAAGAAGGGAATTCCAGATTCCAAACCACAAAATGGGGAATGCATCCAAGAACTCCCTGCTCACAAGCTGAAGCACACAGAGCATGCTTTTGGGTAAGATATACACTCTGGGGCAAGGACGTTTACACTCGGACCTGATTTGTTGCCTTTTATGGGTCTTATTGCAATAGGATAGAGTGCCGTACAAAGGCCAAGAATGACTTTTTTTGCATCACCTTGAAAGAGTATCTTGCTTTAGTTTGTCACGGAACATAAATCAGCCTTCTCTAGTCTTGTAAATAGCCCTTGCCTAATCTTGCAAATGTTAATATTATTCAGTTGATATTCATATCCACTGGAAAATTCTATCTGTCTGTCTATTATCTACCTATCTACCTATCTACCCATCTACCCACCTACCCATCTACCCATCTACCCATCTACCCATCTACCCATCTATCTATCTATCTATCTATCTATCTATCTATCTATCTATCTAT